GCGCGGCGCAAGCAGACTGCCCCGCGGGCGGAGCCGGGCGGAGCACGGTAAATCAGGACAAGTACAGTCGGAGATGGAGAGCGGGAGTGAGAGAGAGAGACGGGAGAGCTTGGCGCCGCCGCCGGCCAGGGCAGGCCGGGGCAAGGCAGGAAGCGAGTCCACCGCCAGCCAGGGCTGTGGTGCTGAACGAGACCCTCTCCGTCACACATTTCATAACGCGAGACGAGCTCAGCACGCGCCGCCAGTAAGTCACATGTCGAGCGCGTCGCGTCGCGCAGAGTCCGCGCCAGTGTATCGGCCGTGGCAAAAGATTTGCCGAGTTTCAAATTTGCGCGCGCTCTCGGCATTCCAAAGTGCGCGCCAGAGAGCAGCCCGCGGCCGCGGGGAGGGGCGGAGGGGGCACGAACGGGACCTGCGCTACCCCGCCCCGCAGTGCCCCGCAGTGCCCCGCAGTGCCCCGCCACGCCAAGTTTTCTCCAGCCAGGCCACACCACACCGTGGAGCAGCCCCGTCTCCTCCAGCTCCTTCCAGGTCCAGGCCGCATAGCGAGCGAGAGCGAGAGAGACGGACGAGGAAGGGGCACCGGGCCACGCGGGCCCTCACGGGCCGGCCGCCAGAGCGTAGGCCTGCCGGCCCGATCCCAAATTCACTTTCGTTTGCCAGTTTGCGGGGCGTGGCCGGGCGCTCCCATTCCGCGGCCAGGAGGCGGACCAGAGGCCCGGGCTCACCGGCACCCAACAGTGTGTGTATGTGTGTGTCAATTGGGTAGGGCTGAGAGCGGAGAGGACTGCTGCACCGGGAGGGGCTTGCAGGCGGAGCCCGCAGGCGGAGCCCGCCTGCAGCAGTCTGGCCCCTGGGAGGTAGGCCACGCCGGGCCGTGCAACGCAGCCGTGCCCGCCGGCGGCCTACCCCGCAGGCGCTCCACGCCGCCTGCAGCGCGCCCCGTTAAACAGCAGATAAGGAGCCGGTGGAGGAGAGGAGGCCCACCTCTCTCTCTGTGCGCCATCACCATTGGGTAACCCGCGCGCGTGAGGTCGTTGTCTTTTGGATGCACCCTATGCGCCTCCCGCGAAACCAGCCAGAGTGCGTGTGTGTGTGCGTGCGTGTGTGTTTACAGTTTGGCGGGCAGCCGTGCGGCTCGTTGGGACTCTGCCCTACCCCACAGCCGCGCTGGCTCGGCCCTTTGGCCACGCCCCACCCCGCCCCAGCCCGGGAACCGCCCCGCCACGCCACGCCCGGTGACTCAGCCCGGGGTGGCAGCCCACTCTGTGACTCACACAATTTATTTAACCAGCCACCCTCCGCCTCCAGCGGCCCCAGCGCTGTGCTGTCCAGCGTCCCTTCCCGTTCGCCGAGAGCGACCTGACCCAGCTCCTGACAGGCGGACCGGGGCCACACCAGGGCCACGTCTAGAGATGAAGACGCTCAAGATCTCCAGAAAGAAAAACTTTCACAAGGATGATTTTAAAATTAAAAACCAAGAAAAGGGAGGGTTTGTGAAAAGGTTCGATATTTTAAATAAGATAAATCTTTGAAAATGAACGTGGCCTAAGCCACTGTCCTCTGCCCTCGCCGCTCACGCTAAACACGAGCCATGGTATTAACAGGAGTTTTCTTCGATTTCCAGGGGAGTTGGAAGATACCCAGGGGATGCCATGGAGACGGGCAATTTTCCCAGGGGAAGTCATGGGTTTCGCTCCCCTGGGAATAATTTGCTCGTTTCCAGGGCATCCCCTGGGGTTCCAAGTCTCCTAGGAATCCCAGGACTCGTTTTTGCCGTGTGACAGCAGGGTAAGTACAGTATACACACTACTACACTATACGCGACAGCTCGCAGCTCACAGTTCACACACTTCCTGGTGCGTCCGTCCGTTCGGCACAGGAAGCACACGCCCGCCCCCCTCACTCGCCCCGCGCCAGTCCAGCTGGGCGGCGATGATTCAGCCAGAGCTGTGGGCTGCCGGCACGCGCCCGCCGGGGGGAGGGAGCTCAACGAACGCGTTCTGTTTTACACGACGCTCTTCAAACCATTAGAGTGTGTGTGTGTGTCTATGTCATAATCGCTGGACATTCACTGTGCATGTGAAAAGCTCGATCCGCCATCACACCCGCGCCCATTTTTCGCTGTTGAAAACGAGACGACAGGAATGCCTGGCATGCCACGCCACAGTCATGTCAAACTCGGCGTTGGTCAGCGGCGTCAAAAGGGGTGCGCGCGCCTGCGCCTCTGGCCGCAGCTGCCGGCAGCTGCTGGACCGCTGCTGCTGCTCCCCCTTCCTTCCCTCAGCTGCCGGCAGCTGCGCGGGTCGGCGCGCTTCCGTCCTTGACAGCCGCGCTGCTGCAACCCGCGCCGCTTCAACCAGCACAGCAGCGGAGGGCGGGCGGTGGAGGAGGGAGGGAGGGACGAACACGGAGTCTATTTCGATCTATTTACAGCGGGATGCCCCGCCGAGCCACGCCGCGCCCGGCCCCTGCTGCACCGTGTGCTGCAGTGCTGCCCCAACAATGCCGCACAGGACACGAGAGGGCGGAGCGGGGCAGGCGGGGCGTTACTGTCGTCGAGTCGGGAGACCATAGCTCCATTGTTTTCCCATATTCGTTTCCAATTTCACGGCACGCTACACTCGGATGGCGATAAATGTCAGACGAGCAGAGCGGGCCCGCGGGCCGCGGGTCGCGCGCTGTAAACTTCCCATGTGCATCACATGGAGAAGGCTCCGCGCAGTCAGCTGTTTGCGGCAAAAACACACACACAGAAGTACATGGTCAGAATTACAAGCACTATAGCGCATATGTCGTTGAAAGTTATTGAATGACCGAGAGGGGTCGTGGTCGTCAACTCGGGTATTCTTTAGTGCCATTCCTCCAATAATATAGATCTTACAGATAATAATAAGAGGTGGCTGATTAACCCTGCGCACATTTATACAGTACCGCAAGCAGGCAGGCGGCGGGTTGCCTATCGGGTAGGAGCCGTAAGGCGCCGTATGGTCAGCGACGATGGGCAAACTCGCCCGCACGCCGGGGCTACTACTAAGTGCGTGGTGTTAATCGGCCACCATCGGCCACCTTGGTATGTAGTATTCCTTCGTACCCGGGCACTAGGAGTTGATGACCCCCTCGTTCACGACCATTCCGGGATCATTCAAAAATTTGTTCTTGCCGTTGCTCCCGACGGGATAGTAAGTGCGCTGCTGCACAGCGTTGCTGCGGTTGCAGTCCGAGCTGTCAGCGTCGGGGCCGGCCGGTATTTGCGTGCATTTCGATGCAGCCCGGGGCGGGGTGGTGCGGGGCGATGGCGATGGTTCGCCGGCTCGCGGTTCCTCCCGGCGCGTTTGCTCTAAAAATACACTAAATCGGGCGTAAAGAAACGCGGGTGTAGGGGTGCGGGCCGGGCCGGCGCTAACGTGCGGGGGGCCGCGGGCCAACGCCTCCTGGCCGAAACAACACTCGTTTGCGCTATTGTAATATATTTTGTGTTTTTCTACTTAATTTTTTAGGTGTGGGAGGGGGATTTTGGAAATACGTACATTGGGATTTACCACGGAATTTGTAACGACACTAAACCGTACGGTCCAGCTGCTAAGCCCAGATGCAGCTAGCTACTCTCCTACCTTATCTGTCATTAATTTTGTTTTTGTGTTCCCCTCCTCGCCGTTGGCGAACAGAACAGCCCCAGGCAAATATTTGAGCACCTTGTCTACGCTCGGCTCGGCAGAGATAAGAGACTCGCGGTGCATCGTATCGCGGAGCGCTAAACCCGAGGAGGAGGAGGGGAGTGTAAAAGGTTTCGGATTCTGCCCTCATCTCGGCTGCATATGTCAAATATGCGCATTCAACATTAGGGAAAAAGTCGACAAACTACGACCACTATTTTGCAAGTCAGCGTTCCAACGTGACCGAAACAAAAAAAAAAACAGTACGCACAAGTAGGAATGGCAACCTCTCGACTTCTGCCAAGAAAAGTGCGCCAAGATTTTATCTGCCGCGTCGACCTCTACACCCAGCCTATCGAGCCAATCTGTCTCGGTATCGTATCATATCTCTGTGCGCCGCCACAGGCGCAGCAGGCGCCTCTGCCCGCCGCGCCGCGCCCCTGCCAGCCCCTGCTGGCCGGCCTTCCCTCCCGCCGCCCCTCCTCTCCTCGCTCCAGGAGAAAGCGATGCTATGCGATGCGGAGCGACGAGTTACATTGATCCGCAGAGATGCATCCCATCTTAGTCAGATCCACCTCACTGGACGACGCTTCACTAGGCGCCAACGTGATTGGCGATTTGCTAGCCTATTTTTTACATGCACTTTTGTTGAAGCACAACAGGCCATATATAGTAAAGGGCGAGATCGTCGACACTTAGTTCGGTTAGGACTTGTTCAAGCTAGGGGTGGTCCACACAAACAATTTGGGTTCTTGAGATGTATTTTCATGCAGCGTAATGCATCAATTGCATTTTAAAACACCTTTTTAAAGAGCATCTTTTTTCTACAAACAGTTACAAAATTCATTCATACATGCCAATGTGACCACAATGTGGTCTTGGCCAGGATTCACTGATGAATCTAAACGGTATGAAATTAATTTTTCATTCATTTGCCCATTCATTAAAGTTAGCTGGCTTATCCTCTTGGGAGTGGTAGGTCGTGGAGGTAATGACCACCCCAAACAACCCCACAGAGGTCTACGATGACCATTCATTGAGTAAGAAGACTGATAGGTAGGCAATTTGCATTCCAATTCGCCTGTCATTAGGCAAAAAGTGTGACATGACCTCCCCCATAATGAAAACCTAGCTGGGTGCCGGCTGTTCTCTGACTTATATTAGAAACAACTTTGTATAATTTTCCCATCACAGCAAGAATAAACACAATTTCATGGTACCAAGATCTTATTTTCTACATTTTAACCTAGAAAACTATTTGAATCAGTTTCACACTACAGTCAGTCAGAAAGATATTAAAACATAAATGGATTAAGATTTTTTAAAGATAACAATTGTACATACCTTGAATACTTCAGAGAAGAAGCCAGATCCAATCTTTTCTCTGGTGAAGTCGTCAAGCCGATTCAGGGCAGCTACAGCGTGTCTGAGAGCTTGGCATGATGAACCAGTGACACGTGAGAGTTTCCAAGTTGGAACTCCAGTCCCGAGCATGGTATCCAAAGATGCTGAGCTGGAGGAAGGCATCACAATCTTATCTGACGATAGATTCATGATGTTTGTTCCACCAGTATCACTTAATTTTTTACTAAAACCACTGTCACTACGATGACCACTTGATGCTTGGATCATCTTGAAGACCAACACAGCAGAACATCACAATTTTAAAGTTCTCACACGTAATGATTCTTGCTCTTGATATGGACAAGAAGCCATAGTTGCAAGGCAGAAATATTTTCAGAGGAAAATTCACTATTCAAAATAGTTTGCTAGGCATAGACTTCGCCCCTGTCCTGTGTTTAATGAGGCTCCTAGTGCACCTTCTAAATCCATGGCCTCAATAGGAGTTGCTCCATGGACTGAGTGTGTCCCCAGAATAACAAAACACTTTAAAACATAGATCGGTTTTTCTTGAAAAACATTCTTAAGTACACAGACGAGCAATGTTTTGAAAGTAGGCAGAAGCTCTTCTGTCAAATCCGCAGAACGAATCAGAGAAAATTGGTTTCACATGAATATTTCCGTCAGGGCATTGCCTGTGTGTTCACTCTCACTACTGCACTGACAAAATTTTAGATGCAAATACATCCAGTTCACGACCGAAAAGCTCGTTTGACAGCCCGTGTCACGAACATCAACACAGAACCTCGCGGCTCGGTCGCCATATTCTCACTGCAACGACATCTTCAGACCACTTCTTCGCTGAATGAAAACCCTGCCGTCTGCTCTTTTCTCTCCCTCTTTTGCACTGAGGATACTGCGGCTTCTCTCCGGCCAGCATCACAACAAGGCGCGTGCAGCGCTATCTTATTGCGGCCGCAGAAGGAACTACGGCTGGCGCGGTATTTTAACGGTTCAATCAAGTTTTGTACTTCTCTGTACGAGCTTGAGAGAGGACGGGGACTAAATTACTGGGAACCATATAACGAAACTTTGAGGAATTTTATTTAACTTTATACAAAATAAGTAGTAAAATAGAACTACTTACAAACAATATCTGGATTCAACAGGAATACTACTTTAGAAACCAGCAACAGAACTCCTTTTTTGACCTCAATTTCCATGAAACACATCCTATACAGGCAAAAAAAAAACCTATGCAACTTTTTAAGTTTTCTTTTTAACTAGTTTGATGTACTTGGAGGCCTGATAAGTATTCTTTTCTTCCTTGACATATTCAACCTTCTTCTTGGGATTTCTTCTGGCCAATCTTAATTTCAAATCTTCGGGTGACAATGTTGAGGTATCAAGTGGGAGCTAAAATAAATGAGCATTATGTAGACTGAATTCATAAAAGTGCACTGATAGGAGGTAAAAATTTAGTACGCATACCTGAATGATGGATCGAGGCTCATGGTAGCGAGTATAAAATGAAGAACCATCTGGTTGTACTACAAGAACACGATAATTTTTCAAATAGGATTCTCTGTGAACTTTAGTAATAAGAGCAAAGTTATTTGATATACTCCGATGTAAAAGCTGAGGGTTTGATGGAGAAGTCTGTGTCAAAATTTGTTTGACTGATGCCCAAGGAAGAAGAGTCATTCTGAAAGAGAAATCACCAGGCAGTACGATTAAGCAGGGTTGAAAGCTAACAAGCACAGAAAAATTTCGGTCCTAAGAGTAATTTTAACCGTTTATTTATTAACATACAAATAATTTATGATTTTATTTTTATTTACAGAAGGAAGCCCTTACCGACTGAAGAGGTTAGATTGTGACATGTTTCCGAAGGTGTTGTTCTCTCTTTGATAATTTAATGAAACCAAATAGCGATTTGACAACACATGAGGATATAAGAATAGATACAAAAGAAGTAAATAAGACTGACGAGTCCGCTACTGCCCGTTCTACATCACCCAAAATCTTTCGCACATTTACTTTTGGACCTACAAGCAGCCGACGCAAATCACGAACAGCTACGAGAAATTTACTAAACGTAAATATGTAAAATATGAAAAATTGTCCAATAGCCATTTCAGTTAAAAGGGAACGACCCAAAATGAGTTGACATTTCCTGTTTTTTCCTGTGTACCATGAGACAAAATATTAAAATCTCTTTGATTGGACTGACGAGTAATGTCCTCTAATTATAATTAAAATAGACCTTTTTGCCCACAAGTCAGATTTTACACTTGAAAGAAACAGTATTTTGAGTGTCAGTCAACAATGTTACGTATCACCACTCGAATCCTTGAAAATTTATTATAAAAGGCAAGATATTTTTATTTTTAGAAAACATGCCCGAATTACATTTTTAGTATGGAGATTTGCGCTGTTGCCAAAAAGGTGGAGGGGATGTGGAAATGTGTTGAACAAAATAACAAAGGTGAAAAAAGTACAAGATAAAAGGTTTTTCAAATGGATGTATTGACAAGAAATTTAGTAAGAGATAACAACTTTGGAAAGAGCTTTGAAATCACACACAATGGTATCACAGGATATAATCTCTTAAAATTAACACTGAGCAAAGCTCTGGGCCTGGGTATGTGTGAAGGCAAAATAGGCATACACTCTAGGTAGTTGAAGGGGAATGACTACTCTTCTCTTATCATAGGACATCATGCATAGGTGACATTTAGTTTTGGAGGTGCTAGGTGGCCCTCAGCTCACTGAGTATTTACTCAT